GAAGGTCAAGCCTAAGGACCAACCTTGCGAAGGTATGGTGTCTATGCTTATTGAAACTAATCTTATGGTTAGTGCTGAATCCAACTTATGGGTTCTAGATTCTGCTGCAACCTCACATATTTGTATGTCTTTGCAGAATCTGGAAATAAGCAGGATGCTAGGGTGAAATGAAATTGTCCTAACATTTGCAAATGGAGTAAGAGTTGCTGCATTAGCTGTAGGGACTTTTCATTTATGTTTGCCTTCTGGACATATATTGGTATTGAAAAATTGCTTGCATTATGAGAATGATGTTAGGAACATCATCTCTATACCTCGTTTGAGTAAAGAGAATTATGAATTTTTTTTTGCTGATGATGTATGTTCTATTTATCATAATAGGAGATGTGTTGGTTCTGGCTTATTAACCAATAATCTTTATACCATTACAATGTCCGGTAATGTGATTACCAATGCTAATAAGCAATACAATAATGATATAAATGCCATAAGAACAAGTTGAGTAATGATGGGTATATTGATCCATCAATGTTTGAGCCATACTCGGCTTGTGAGGCATGTCTTCTAGGAAAAATGACCGAAGCGCCCTTTGTGGGACATAGTGCGTGAGCTGCTGACATACTGGGATTGATACATACAGATGTATGTGGACCAATAAATGAAAATGCTAGAGGTGGTTATTCTTACTTCATTACCTTCATCGATGATCAGTCACGGTATGGTTATTTGTACTTAATGAAGTATAAATCTGAATCTTTTGAAAAGTTCAAGAAATTCAGGGCTAAAGTTGAGAAACAAACAGGAAAATGTATTAAGGCTCTTCGATATGATCGAGGAGGTGAATACCTTAATACTGAATTCCTGGACTATCTTAAGGATAATGGCATTGTATCACAGTGGACACCTCTTGGAACTCCAGAACATAATGGTGTATCTGAAAGAAGAAATCACACTTTATTAGATATGGTGCGATCTATAATGAGTTACACTGATTTGCCTATATCCCTTTGAGGATATGCCCTCGAGACAGCTGCATATGTAGTGAACAGAGTGCCATCCAAATTTGTTCTAACTACACCTTATGAGATATGGCATAGTAGGAAACCAAGTCTTAATCATATTAAGATTTGGGGTTGTCCAGCTTTCGTCAAGAAGCTGAAAATGGAAAAATTGGAGGCTAGGTCTGAACAAGGTTGCTTCATTGGATATCCAAAGGAGTCTCTTGGATACTATTTCTATTTTCACTCTGACCTAAGAATTTCGGTCAGCAAGCATGCTTCTTTTCTGGAGAATCAGTTCGTCCAGGAAGGTGGTGCTGGGCAGAAAATAGTCTTAAAAGAAGAGAACAATGAAGTACCAAATAACCAAGTTCAAACACCGATCTCTTATTTAGTGGGAGCTTCTGATACACAACCTCTTAGGAGGAGTGCGAGAACGTCTCGTCCACCTGCTCGTTATAGACACTTGGTTGAACATATTGAACCATTATTCATTATGAATGATGGTGATAAACCTGGCGATCCAAACACCTATGAGGAGGTGATGTCGGACATCGATTCTGGTAAATGGCTAGAAGCCATGAAATCCGAAATGGATTCAATGTATTCCAACGAAGTTTGGACCTTAGTTGACCTGCCTAATGGTATTGTACCAATTGGCTGTAAATGGATCTTCAAGAGGAAGATGAATGCTGAGGGTCAAGTTGGAACTTACAAAACACGGCTGGTGGCGAAAGGATATCGTTAAAAAGAAGGAATCGATTATGACAAAATTTTCTCACCTATAGCCATGTTAAAATCCATTCGGATTATGTTGGCTATAACTGCACACCTAGATTATGAGATATTCCAAATGGATGTCAAAACAGCTTTTTCAAAATGGTTTTCTTGAGGAGGACATCTATATGGAACAACCATGGGGTTTTGAATCCAATGGTGAAAGTCGGAAGGTGTGTAGGCTTAAGAGATCCATTTATGGACTCAAACAAGCCTCCGGAAGTTGGAACATCCGTTTTGATGAAGTTGTCAAATCGTTTGGTTTCATAAAAAACCCGGATGAACCTTGTATATACAAGAAGGTCAGTGGGAGTGCAATTGCATTTCTAGTTTTGTACGTCGATGATATACTTTTGATCGGGAACGATGTACTGACGATATCATCAATCAAACTATTCTTGTCACAGAAATTCTCCATGAAAGATTTAGGAGAGGCAACCTATATTTTAGGTATCAAGACTATAGAGATAGATAGAGACGATTGATTGGCCTCTCACAGTCTACGTACATAGACAAAGTGTTAACACGTTTTAACATGCAATGTTCCAAAAGAGGATTATTGCCTTTTAGGCATGGAATCCATCTTTCCAAGGAGATGTGTCCTAACACTCCTGAAGAAAGAGAGCGGATGGCAAAGATACCTTACGCATCTGCTATTGGAAGCATAATGTATGCTATGCTATGTACGAGACCTGATATTGCACATGTTGTAAGCATTACTACCAGATATCAGTCTGATCCAGGGGAAGAGCACTGGATGGCAGTCAAGAATATCCTTAAGTACTCGCAAAGGACTAAGGATTTATTCTTGGTTTATGGAGAATGAGAGTTTAAAGTTGAAGCTTATACTAATTCCGATTTTCAATCGATTCCTAATGATTATAAGTCTACATCTGGGTTTGTCTTTACACTTAATGGTGGCACAGTTAGTTGGAAGAGTTCCAAACAGAGCATAACTGCTGATTCCACCACTGAGGCAGAGTATGTAGCCGCTTTAGAAGTAGCAAAGGAAGCCGCTTGGATGAAGAAGTTCATTTCTGAACTTGGAGTCGTTCCTTCCATTGAACAACCAATAACATTGTTTTGTGATAATAATGGTGCAATAGCTCAAGCGAAGGAACTAAGGTCTCACCAGAAGTCCAAGCACATTGAGAGACGCTTCCATCTCATTAGAGAAATTGTTGGGAGAGGTGATATCGCCTTGCAGAAAATTGCCTCAGTGGAAAACGTGGCAGATCCCTTTACTAAGGCCTTACCTCAGTCTTCTTTTGAATGACACATTGACAAGATGGGGTACCAAACAAATTGGCTTTAGTGCAAGTGGGAGATTGTTAGATGTATGCCCTAAAGTCATCATGTAATAGTTACATGTTAAGGATTTAAGTTGTATTTTCAATTTCATTATTTATTTAATAGAAATGACGTATTCATTCATTTGTCCAATTATTTAAATAATGAATGATTCCATAAGATCAGTTGTGACTGGACCTATTCTTGAGACGTTAAGAATATGTGTGACTGATTCACAATTAGACTGAATCTTTAAATTGTTCCCGGTCGATGGATCATTGAGTGGATATTAATAATCCTGTTGAGACCGATGTGTTCTTAGCTTCACCGTTAAGTATTGGATATTTAAGGGAATGACGAGTCACGAGTCATTGGGAATTGTGATGCCCGAGTTAGAACACAGGTGCTTGTACCAAATAAGTTCACTGAACGTGACACGTATATAACGATTAGCAACATGGAAGCTTTTAACGTGGTCAATGCCTAATCGTTCATGCTCTGGTCTTGTGTAAATAATCCTTAGACCTGAGGCACAGTGCTGACTTGTGTGTTGGATGGCTATGGTTCACAGGTGCGCATATTGCAGGTTCGTTGATCCGTCTCTGTACTTGATGGCCATAGTTCGTTCACATACGAAGTTACACGTGTGCGCAAAATGGAACCTGTCTCCTTGTTATACGCAAGGTACAATAATGATATCCTATGCAATCTAATCTTGACACTGCATGAAAATCCTCGGCCGGGGTTGTAACCGAGAATGAACTGTTCGTGTCTCATATAAAATGCATGTCAATTAGGTTTGTGCATACGATCGAATTGGTGGCTTGACAAATATTCCATGGTCTTTGTTCGATCGGGACATAGTAAGACAGAAGGATTGAATTACACTGTAGTCAAAGTTGATAGGTTCGTTATGTTCTTAAAGTATTCACACTGTCTGGATAGCCATGACATAATGCTAGATATCAATCATGGCTTGTAAGACCTAGAGGTTGATCGGGACAATCAATTCTCTTGGGAGTACTAATGTGTTGGTACAAGTCTTACTACCGGCTCAGTGATGAACCTAGGGATGTTACACACCATAACCAATTTAGGATGATGTTGTACGGAAGAGATGATATTGCAAATATGTTTGCAATCGACTTGAGTCAAACTGAAATTAAATTAAATGGGATTTAATTTAATTAAATTTTTGTCATGGGCGTGTGTGCATACGATGCTCATGAAATACACATATAATGATCGTGCACTTCTATGTATATATATATATATATATATATATATATATATATATATATATATATATATATTTATAAGTGCACACGGATAGCAATAGTTACTGTTCGTGTGCATTTTAATTTAATTAAAAAAAAAGGGCACACGGTCAACAAACGGTTGCTGACCGTGTGCATGTCACACTTGATCAGCAACCGTTGCTGATCGTGCATGCGATCAGCAACTGTTGCTGATCACCATATTAAAAGCACGATCAGCAACAGTTGCAGGGAGATGAAAAAGAAAAAAAGTAAATATGCAATTATCATGTGTTCGTGACAGTTAAGAAAATACATTTTCTCTCTTCCAACGCCGTGACTGAAATATTGAGAGTGCGGAGAATTGTCGCCACAAGATTGCTAGCACAATTATATTGGTGATTACCCGCAAGTTCTTCCTTCCCTTCGTCGTGCAATTGGTAGTGTGTCTGAACTAGAGGTCCGACGCTTGTGGGGCTCGAACTGAAAAACATCCGAATCGAAATCGTTTTGGGCACGCTACGAAAGGTAATCCGTTCAACCCCCTATGGTTTTCCGATTTTTGATTAAAATGCATGAACAACGCCTTTGGAGATACATGTATGGTTATATCTTTCCGTTGCGTTTATATTTAATTTAACTATGCATGTTCCATAGAAAACCAACATAGACACCACGTCGGTCACATTAACATGGGCTCTATCCCTTCTGCTCAACAATCGCCATATCCTAAAACAGGCTCAACAAGAACTAGACTCTCACATTGGACGAGGGAGACAAGTGACCGAGTCCGACATAAAGAACTTAGTCTAACTCCAAGCGATCTTCAAAGAGACGATGCGTCTCTATCCCGCCGGGCCCCTCTCTCTGCCCCATAAGTCCGTCGAGGATGGCACGATCGGTGGCTACCATGTCCCTGTGGGCACACGGCTCCTATTGAACATCTCGAAGCTCCACCGGGACCCGCGGGTGTGGCTCACTCCTCTCGAGTTTCGGCCCGAGAGATTCCTGACCATGCACAAGGATTTAGATGTTCGGGGTCAGAATTTCGAGTATTTGCCCTTCGGAAGTGGCAGAAGGATGTGCCCGGGAATGTCCCTCGCTCTTCAAGTGCTGCACATTGCGCTCGCGACTTTGCTGCATAGTTTCGAGATAAAGACTGCATTGGATGGACCAGTGAATATCAGGGTAGGCATGGGAATCAGTTGCCCTAAAGTTACTCCTCTAGAAGAGATTCTCGCTCCACGCCTTCCTCCTCATCTGTATGTCTAAAGATGGGAGGGTGAGATAATCTCTATAAGAAACACTATCAGGCAAAATTTTCCTATCCATCATCAGCTTTACAATTACGAAGACGATGCATTTGTGTTTCTCTTATGTGTACAAGATTTCTTTATGCCCCTTCATGGGAGATATCATTATGCTTGGTCTAGACGGCACTTCGATTATTATAAACCCAGCACAGCGCACGCATGATTGGAGAATATATTCATAAGCTGTATCATTTACAAAAAAAATTCACAAACTGTAGATGATAAGTTCTTGAAATGGCAAGTGCTTTGAGGTAAGGGAAGCGAATAAAGACAATCTGGGTGGATTTCTACTTGATTAGAAATAATTTTACTAAAGAACCGAAATTAGAATGGCTTAAATTAAGAAAGAAGAATTAATCAATTAATAGTAATAATTTTACTAAAGAACAGAAATTAGAGCACAATAATAAGCAGTCACATTGAGCTTTCCCCAGCACATCCCTCGACGAAATTATTGCATCGCCGCCCCATTGCTACCGAAAACTCCAAGATGATGGAACGCTAGGCAAGATCCCTCAACTTCCCTAAGGCGAAAGGATTAATCCAACTACCGCCTAATGGTGTGCTCTACTACATAATCTTACCTTTCGGTTTGGGTGTGCCTACTCCTCTTTTCCAGTTTTAGCAGCTCAATTAAGTCGAAATCTACTAGTTTGCCGGGAGTGAAGATACCACATTGTTACAAGCGTAGAACCTACTTTTGCACACAACCTGACTCTTGCCGTAGCACCCCCCTTATAGACTAATTACTTATTGGTTCTTCTAATAGTGGTTCTCACACCTTACACACAACACAATTTCGCGACCTTCCCATAGGTGATCACCAAAAGGAAAACTAATGGATTACTAAGTCAAAAACTTGGCACGGACTCTCCCAAGCTCTACAATTGCAACTTGGTACTCAATTTAATATGCAATTTACTTACCTTTTTGGAGCTGCCACTAATCAATTATCGGTAGGTCGATTAGACACCTAAGTAAAGCGTGGGAGAACACTTTACTTCTATGAACCAGAGATCTATGGACACGGTCTGATGCCCTTTCGGTATCTTTTTCTCTTTATTTTCAAAAATACTTTGCAAGCAATCTTGCTTGATTTTAACTTAAGCCACAAACATGTAAGAGTGATCATACTGGTACGAAATTAATAATTTAACTCTCAAGAAGCCAAAGCAATAAATAATTCGCTAGAAATAGGACTAACCTTAATGCAAAGCAAAGAATAAATTGACAATTATTACATTCTAGTTGCTGGGAAAATGCCCTATATTATTTTGACGATGACAAAAACAATCATATGCTACTAATGTGTATATTGGTTGAGTATTACGAGGTAATATATATACAAGCCACAATGCAGATGGTGTCATAATCAGTATCAGGTGTGATCCTGATATACTGAATGTTCAGCCACTACTAGGAATGCTCTGCCGATATGGAAGGATCATTGCCCACATCTGAGGTGAATAAAGTATTGGGAATGGAGGTATCCACAAGCCGAAAGGATCTCTGCATCAACATACTATTGGAAATATGCACTCTTGATTATGGGTAAGGGATCATGTTGATATCAAAACCTAGAAGGTGCTGGTTATATGCTCATCTGATGGGTATATTGATCAAGATAAAACTAGCTGTTACAAAGGCTTGGAGTTCGCATAAGGAGCACTGGAAATGTATTAGAGTAGTTATGGCAATACTGACATGAGACAGACACTGATAGGAGTAGTTTGACTTGTTTGGGAAACTTCACTAATGCTGATGAACGACAAGGAGCCGTTTTGTTGATAGCAATGACAATACCAACGGCTAGTTCATGGAGATGAGTTGCAAACAGTTATCTAATGGTTGGATGAGTTGCAAACAATTATCTAACGGTTGGATGGCTATATATATGAAATCCAAGAGAAGTTGCAAGGTTGGGAAGTAAAACAAACAAACCAAGTCTAGAGCTCGAGTCTTCTTCTTTGCTTTATTCTATTGTTAGCAACTGTGATGCTAATAATGTCTATGTGAGGTGCTACTAAGTTGTATTAGTAAAGAATCAAGTGTACAAGTGTGAGTGCAAGTGCTTGTGTCCCAATCGTGTGATCTATCGTGTAAAGGGATCAAGACTAGCCAGTTGTAACTTGCAATGTTCATTACTAGTGGATTCCAACCTTGTTGTGGCTATTAGTCTTGAGAGTGGACTTAAGCTTTGGGATAAAGCCGAACTACTATAAAACTCAATGTGCTATTTTGTATTAGTACCACTCCTGATTACATTATTTGTTCATCGGCAGCACTACTGATTATGTTAAACTGTTTTCGTTGTTGCGCGACCTACCCCTTGAGGACTGCCTCAGCGTAGATTTAGAGGTAATTGTTTAAGAGACGTTCCAAATGGCTCATCCCAAAAGGCGGCTTAAAAAGCGTCAACCTTAAGTTCATGCATAAGGTTTATCAATCCCAAGCGTGGACTCTCCCTCAGTCCATACCTCGTGTGACACATGATTGTCTGTATGTTTTTTATTATTTTGGAGTCACCATTAGCCTTTGTTGGTGTTAGCTAGAATACCCAATCGAAATGCTTAGAAGCACACATGTCACCTGTCTCTATGCCTCGATATGAAGTGTCATGTGGATCGGACGGTCAGCATGTATTAACACCAGGACAGCTGCACGGTTCGGATGAAAGATGTCTAACGCAGCCTCTTCTTCAAGGATCCTTCACACGGCTGCTTCGATACCGATTTCTTTTTTTTTTCTCTCCCTTATTTTTCCCAACTTTTATTGTGCAACGCAAATGGGAGGAAATGGTTGTGCTTTGGGATGCGTCACAAGCACATGCCCCACCCCATCAAACAATACTAAATATAGAACAAGGATTTGACATTTTACAGATCTATAACATTAAGATATGAAATCATTGCGTCTTGTTATATGGTCATCATATTATATAATTACACTACAGAACTACATGCACGTTTCCAAGTCGACCGCGGGTATTAGGTTTCTAGCCAAAAAATAAAAAAGAAGAAGAAAAAGATCAGCGGTATTAGGTCCTAAGGAGATACACTTGTTTCCCTTCAATCGAGCCGCCCCTCCATCATCCCTTTCTATTCTTTCATTTGTTTAATCCATTTGCAAGTCCATCGGCCGGTCGGTCTCAGCATATGTGACATTCTGAAATCCGACCCACTTGGGATTTATGAAATGGATGGTTTTATGAACGTACTTGTAGTTAGATCTCGTCCGGAACTGATCATTCCTGGGATACTAACCGTTAGAGAGAGGCTAATTAGGGATTTAAATTCGCGCGACCAAAGAACTCGATCGTGAATCGACTTTCGATCACGAAAATTGTCGAGGTGACATTTTGAGCCAATGAGGGCCGATCCAAGGATAGTCAAGGATCAGTTCGCCGCTGTCATATTAGTGGATCGCGGGTGATTCCGCTTGACCACGATATGAGTTGACGAATGATCCCGAACCTATACCAAACGATCGCGCCTGTCGGAACTAGCGATCGATCCTTGCGATTAAGTGACAACCGAGGTCGTCACGACCCGAGTAAACTTAAACGTGGCTTGATTTAGTATCGGCCATGGGTCAATAATGCGAAATTTCCCAAAAACCACCCGTTAGTATGAGATACGCGCAAGTTACGTTATTTAGAACTTAGTCATTAATTAGAGACCAAGTTGGGCATTGAAAATTTAGAAAGTCATGACGGATCGTTTGGACGATGTTGACATTTGCTCGGGTAGCCTCGGATTTGTCCGAATCCTTCAGAAAAATTGAATTTCGGCGAGAAATGGAAAAATGACCATTTTACCCCTGGAAATTTGTTAAGGCCAATGTAATTTGGGAAGGGCATTTTGGTAATTTCGCCCTAGCCTTAGAATTAGAGATTTTTGGACAATTTTGCCCTTGGACTTTTTGAGAAATTCCCAAATTACCCTTAGATATTTTGGAAAAGATTCGATCCGAACCGTCGATCTCAAGATAAGATCGAATCTAAGCCGTTGATTGGATTTGTGAGAGAAGGGCAAGATGATCTTTTGGCCCTTCAATTATTGACCTTGGACTATTAAAGTCCAAAATCCTCTCTCTCATCACTTTCTCCCTCTCTCGGCTCACTCACTCTCCCTCTCCTCCCTCACCGATCGTCGCCCTCTCCCCCTTGGCCGCGCCACTGCCGTTCGGCCGTCCGTCCGCCGTGCCACCGCCATCCCGCCACCGAGCAGCACCACCACCCTCACGCCGTCCCTCTCTCTCTCTCCCTCTCGGCGATCTCTCTCTCTCCCCTCGTGGCCGTGAGTGACCGCGGCCAAGGAAGCCGTTTGTCGCCGCCCACCATTCAGCCACTCGCCGCCGCCGCGTGCCGGCGTGAGGCCACCGATCAGCCGCCCCCTTCCCACTCTAGCCGAGCTAGTCTAGAGTTTGTGTAAGTCGCGCCCTAAACTCTATTTAGGACTTCGGGTATCGACGGACGAATTAGGGCTGAATCGGGTTGATAGGTGACGGTTTAGGGGTTAATTAGAGGCTGTTTAGTGGTTATATTAGTGGACCGATTTAGGGGCTAATTATGGTTGGTTTATGCATGAAATTATGATGATTTCGAGGCTGATGTGGTGCTGAGTTAGATGCTGGAAAATTGGGAAATGAAATGACGGGCATATGGTCCGATTTGGAGACGATTTGTGTCGGTTTGATGTGCTGTGATGTGGCTGTGTTGTGGTGCCTGTTATGGCTTGAAATATGCGTGGAAATGTTGAATTTGTGGCTGTGATTGTGGGCCCGATGGCGGCTGTGATTGCTCGTTGGTTTGTGAAATATTTGATTGAAATATGAGTTGTTGTGTGCACGCATGGGCTGAGTTGCGTGGATCGCCAGTTTGGCCATGTTTGGGCTTTATCTGAGTGTGTGAAATGCATGGAATTGGATGCATGCATGCGCCGGATTTAATCAGCTAGTATTTGGGCT